TAGTGTCCTTACCATTAGGGGCACAGTGTGCTAGAGAATCTGTGGGCAGGTGATGAGCACCCTCCCCCCTCCTCTTTCTTGTACTCTTTCCATCCTCCCCACCCTCTGTCTTTCTCCTCTCTGCGGCATCAGTCTGATATCCTCTCTCTTTTCAGGATGGCTTTATCAGTGAGCAGACATTAATGTGTCAACTCTATTCCTGTTCTTTCCTCCAGGCCTCCGCTAAGCAGTGATTGGCCTCACGTGAGTCAATCAGGAGAGAGGGGATGACTGGAAGCCTAGAGACCACCGACTTCCAAGAACATGACTGTTCGTGTGGGGGCGAATCTGTATGTAGCCTGGGAGTTGTCTGTGGCTGGCAGGTGTGTTGGAAAAGAGAGGGGAGGACCACTGGGTGTAAAGGATGTGGGGTGCACATTCGTGGTGTCAAATTCTATTACTGAGCGTTCTCACTTTAGTGTGCAAATACTTCTCTCGAAATCGGGTTCCTTTAGGTTATGTAACCTTAAAGAGGATCAAATTGTGACCAAGATGGCAATTATCTAGATAAAATATAATAGCTGTAGAATTATGCATCGCTTCGCAGGCTCAGACATACCCTAACATCACTGAAAGCCCTCCCGTGATGGTTATAAAATTAATCTCTTCCCTGCCTCTATGCTTTGGAAAGTAAACTTAGAAGAAAAAAGTCACTGTGGCATTAGCAGCAAGGGTTGACGTCTGGTCCCTGCAGGTCTGCTCCAACAGTTCTGTGAGCCCTGTTGTCTCATCCTCTGTGTGCTTTGAGGCCATCTTAGACTTAAGGAATGCTGAGGACCATACTTAGGCCTGGAGTGCTCTCACAACACCTGAGGTTCAGTGAGTGTGACTGGATGTTGGAAGCTGACACCAGACCTTTTTTTTTTTTAAGATTTTATTTATTTTATGCATATTAGTGCTCTATATGCACGTGCACCTGCATGCCAGAAGGGGGCAGTAGAGGGCACAGATGGTTGTGAGCCACCATGCAGCTCAGGACCTCTGGAAGAGCAGACAGTGTTCTTAACCGCTGAGCCATCTCTCCAGCCCAGACACCAGACCTTTTTACCCACTCCTGCTGTGACAGGTACTGGCTAGTCAGCTGGTCTCATGCTCTTCCCTTAGGAAATCACTAACTCCCAGTTCTTCAGAGAGAACACACACACACGCGCGCGCACACACACACACACACACACACACACACACACACACGCACACTCACTTACCCATCTCTCTCTTTCTCCCTCTCTCTGATTTATGAAAGTTTCAATTCTCAAAATAAAGTCAAATTTGCTGGCCTATCAAGGAGTTTTAATTGAATGATTAGAAAACATTAAGTTGTTTTATCTGTCAGTGAAAGAACTCTGCATACTAGAAACCCAAAACTTTTCTTTTGTGCTTTTCAAGACGGGGTTTCTTTGCGTAGCCTTGGCTGTCCTGGACTTGCTTTGCAGACCAGGACGGCCTCAGACTCACAACGATCCGCCTGCCTCTGCCTCCCTGAATGCTGAGATCAAAGGTGTAAGTCCGGCCATGCCTGCCCCAAAACTTTTCTTTAGAAAAAAAAATTTTTCATAATCCCAGCACTTGGGAGGTTTGAATCAGGAGGATTGCCATGAGTTTGAAACCAGCATAGGCTACTGAGTACCAGCCCTGGGTTACAGAGTAATAGCCTGTCTCTAGAAAGATAAACAAAATTTTTTAAAGTGCAAATGCCTTAGATAGAGTTCCCTGGAATGTTGGGGAAAGAACACTAATGTGCCTGGAGTCCATCGGAAAGTGAGATGAGGTGGAAAGATGCAAGTAGCCCCAGGTGACCTGGGAAGCTGAAGTAGAACATCAGATAAATGGAGACTTCTCGGGCCTGCTCCCGGCTCCAGGGACTCAGTCAGTGGCCAGAACTACAGAGTTTTGTTTTATTTTGTTTTGTTTGGGGCAGAGCCAGGCAGGGTGGCAGGGATAGTGGCTGATGCAGAGCGACCAGGAAATGCAGAGGCCTCACCTTGGATGCAGGGACATGGTGGTTCTAGAGCTATGTGACTAGCAGGTACTGAGAGAGAAGGATTCCAGATAAGAGAGTCTGGACCACAGCCATGATAGTGACAATGGGGTAACAAAATACAGATGCTCAGACTGAGACATTCAAGGTTCTGGGAGGTTCCTAGTGAGAATCCTCCCCACTGAAGTCACCCGAGAAGGTAACAGAAATTATCGGGGGACAGAGCTAAGTCCATGACTAGTACAGCATAGTAATCCATAGATGCAGACGAGAAACGTTGAGAATAAGAGAGAGACATCCAGATGGGACAAGTATGAACCCAAGAGTGTAATCTACAAGGAGCATATGTGTGCCGCAGGCAATTCTTAACCCCTTCCAAACATTCTGGGCACACAGAGGGGGCTCTACAAAGGAAGTGGGTCTTCTAGCTACAACAGGGGACAGTTCTATTTTAGTGGCAGTAGATAAGAAGAAAATATCCAGAGGCAGGCAGATCTCTGTGAGTTTGAGACCAGCCTGGTCTACAAAGCGAGTCCAGGACAGCCAAGGCTACACAGAGAAACCCTGTCTTAAACAAACAAACAACAAAAAAACCAAACAAACACAAAGAAGAAGAAGGAAGGCAGAATCTAAGAAGACAACGATGGCATCAGCAACTTTACCATATAAAAACTGGGCACCCACGTTTCCCACCAGGATGGCTGCATTCAGAATTTTCAGAGAATCACAACAGACAGTTGTACCGACTGGGGAGTATTTAATATGATCAGGTCTTAAATAAGAAGCCGTGAACACAAACATTCAAAACCAAATACATAATAAATAATCTTTAAGTTATAAAATACATCACTCATATTAAAACTCAATTCTCAGGTGTGACTGTAAATGAAACAGAGCAATAATGTAGACTAGTAATGCTATGAATTTATTCACATGGACAAAGAAGACACTTGCAGCTAAAATATTGACAATCGTAGCTAATTTTCTCTGAAGACTCGTGACTTACAGTAATGTCTCTCTTCCTTCATTTCTCCCTTCCTTCCTGAGCAACTAAATATCACACTTGGGATGAAAGTTACCCAGAAGTATGGTCATGTGGCCCTTTATGAGTACTTATGACATTAAACTCAGACATGCAAAGCTCAAAAAACAAAAAGTACAGAATGGACTTAGGAAAGCCCCTCATCCTTGTTCTACAGATAAGAAAATGAAAACTGAAAAGCTTACACAAGTGGCCACATTCGTGGCCAACAGGGTGTCAGGTCCACTGCGTTCACCCACAGGTGAACAATGGTGCCCACAGTCTTTCCTTAACATCCCTCTCAAGGGCTGGGTACATTTTAAACACTGCTGTGTAAGACTTAGCTTTGTATAGTTTATTCTGAAGCATCGCTTTTCCTTGGCTAGTGGCGGACCCTTTACTGGAGTTTCCAAACTATTCAAGCTCTCAGCCTGTGCCTCACTGAATTCTTTTCACTTCCACAGTAGAAATTGTCAATGATTAGAAAGGCAAGAACACATTTTTAACAATAAACCCACCAAAATAAATACATTATCTTAAATATAAAATCACAGTGTCAAGAAGTCAACAGTTATAGAGCCAGAAATAAAAACAAAACAAAGCACGGAGACCCCCATCTCTCTCCATCCCTCCTTTCTGAAAGATTGCATTTTGCTTCATCTTTCAACCAGCAAACTCAACCACCTGTGCTAGCACCCTTTGACACTTGGGCGAGATATATATGTGTAAAAAGTCATCGAGAGTTGTACATTTACAGTTACACAATTTCTTTGCAATACGTATTTTTTAAATTTAAGAGAATACATTGTTTCTGCTTGAGACAATGTATTGGTTATTCATTTCTGGGAATGAATAACCAGCTCTATCTTAGCTGCACATTAAGTCTGTGTTTGTTTTAAAAGCACTTTTAATTACAGATACTTTTTCCTTGAGTAAAGCCTTCCCTGGTATACATTCTTGAGCTCTCAGATCTGACCTCTGATTTCTTGATTTATCTCCTGATTTTGATTTTAAATAGTTGGTTGGAGTTAACTTTTCAAAAGTGTGCATGGAGTGTGTCCTAAATGCTGAACAGATTTGAAATGCCTTTGTCTTAGAAGTTTCATTTTACAAGGAGGAAAGGATGGAAAGGGTGTGGGAGAGGAGATTGAGGCTGGCTGGCTGGAGTTAGCAGATACACCACAGCACACCCATAACCACCTGAGATGAGAGCTACAAAACTTTAAAACTCTATTTGGCTCCAGACGACTCTGGTGATGTTTGCCCTACCGTATGTTTTAGTTGCCATCTGCACAAGATTAAAATATTAGCTTATAAAGGGACCTGACATTGGAGGAAGGCAAGTTAAGCCTGCTTCTTAATACGCCCATACTACTTCAGAAAAGCTGTGAAGGCCATGGGTGAATTCCATAAGTAGGTTAAATTCTACCATACTTACATGTTTTTGATAGACCTAATAAAGAAGAAGAAATTGTTTATACGCATCTGGGAAATCTCTCGCCAAGAGCATTAATAGATTAGGTGTCTGTATGCTAGATGTCCAGTGGTAACAAGCAAACCCTTAAGACACGCTTTCAAGTACGAAGGATTTTTTTTTCTTTTACAGAATAAAGACCTCAGTTTTCTATTTCATCTTATGCTTTTATATTTTCAGTTGACATCATTCAGTTGGGATCCCAATAGGTCTTATTGTTACAGACCAACAAATTCCCTAGCTGTATTTTTAGTTAAAATCTTTAGTTTTTCCCTTCCAATCAACGAATGTCAGAGTCGGGCAGCAACATGAAGCCACGGCTTGAGAAGTCACGAAATCCCTGAGCTCTCGTGGAGAAGAGATTTTCCATGCTGACGGCATGGAGTCTGCGCGGTGGACTGCAGTGTCTGCGCAGTAACTAGGCAAAGGGCTCTTAACCCGCAGCTTTTCTGAGTTGTGCCTACCATAACTATCCTACTTCTCTGCTCTCAATGCCAGGAGGAGAGGTCACTCCTGAGTCCGTGAGTGTCCATAGTGTCCGGTGTCCCCTCAAGTCCTCTGGAATCTTCAGGTCCTATGTGTTCTGGGAAAGACGCTGATGAATCATCTGTGAAAACAGTAGCCTGTGAACCACTGGGCACAGGAGGGGACCAGGAGACAACAAAAGAGAGAGATAGAAACGTGTCTAAGGTGCATACCTTTTGAAGGAGTGATTTTATTCGTTCCAGGAATTCTTTGGGTGGTTTTTTCTCATAAGAATCACAGGGAGGACATTCCTGGAAATCAAAATGAATGAATGAATGAATGAGTGAATGAATGGTAGCATTCTTTTCTTTCCTTTTTCTGGACACAGGGTTTCTCCGTGTAGACTTGGCTGCCCTGAACTCACTTGTTAGACTGCTTCATAAAATTCTTATGTAAAATGTATTTCTTATATTGAAATCACAGGCCATGTTTAATAACAAACATTAGGAAAATTTTGTGAAGTTGTTCTGGAAGCCTCTCCTGACATTTCATCCTCAGAGACAGCTCTGCATACTGTGGTGTTTAAACTATTGTATCTTTTTTGCTGCTTTTATTCTGTTTTCCTTTGTGTTCTAGTGACTCTGGTTGGTATATGCTGCTCCTTGTTGTTACTTTTCAGCCAATTACAAGTATTTCCTAGGCATCAGAAATGCTTTCTGTGCAGGACATGCAGCGGTTGCTTTATTTTCCAGGACTGAATGGTCCTCTTACTATTTGTGGATACAGAAGTGGTGTCTAGCTTTCTCCTTTTATGCACAATTCTACAAAGAACACTTCTGCAGATAATTTTCATATGTACCTCTGATCTGATAAATTTCTAGAAGTTTATCGAGTAGATTAAAGGGACAAGTTCCTTAAGGAATATATATTGGAAAAGCATTTTACCTCTTTTTGCTTAGACTATTCTAATCACTACTGGGCACTGTTTCCTCTTCTGACTTGCAGTTTATTTGATTGCTAGGACTATCGCTTGCTTTCCTCCCTCCTCGTCATTCTCTTTCATCCTTCTTTTCTCCTTCAGTTTCACGCTCATTCCTGTTTTTTGCCCTCTTTAACAGGTCTCACTTGCTTCACCTACAAGCGAAGAAGCTCAGCCTAGAAGGGCTGGGTTCCAGCTCTGCATCACACACCACCATTTCCTAAGTCTCTGGTTCTGAGTTTCAGAGCTATGCTTGGTTCCTCACTTTCTTCCCTCCTTTCTCTCTCCCTCCTCACCTTCATCTCTCTTTCCTCCCTCTCTCCTTACTTCCTTTATTTTCTTCTCTCCTTTACTCCCTTTTGTCCTCCCTCCCTCCCCCTCTGCCTGCCCCCTTCCTCCCTTCCTCGAAGCTTCAACAGGTTTCTCCCTCATAACCCAGGCTGTCCTGGAACTCTAAGTCCTCCAGCCCCAGCATCCTCGGTGATGGGCTCACAGGCATGCACTGCCCTCTCAGGCAGCTCCTTTCTTTGTGAAGGAAGTTACAGTCATTTTCCCATAATAACCTGGCCGAGCAATCAGAAGAAACAAGACTTCTTTTCATAACGTATTATGATTTCGTCTTAGTCCATGTGGAATTTCTTGAAGGACAGACAACAGGTAAACAAGGCAGAGATGTCATCTCTGCTGGCTTTGATTGATTGAATTACTCAGCTCTTGAGTCTCTGAATTGCATATAAGTTGGCCGAAAAATATATATATATTTAATATATATATATGTATATATATAAAGAATTCAGAGTCCCAAAGTCCCAAAGAAACAGGAACCTGGACATTTCCAAGCCCCATAAAAGGATATTCCTTCTTTTTTTTTAATTTTATTTTTTTCTCATCAGTTACATTTTATTAACTCTGTATCCCAGCCGTATCCCGCTCCCTCATTCCCTCCCAATCCCACCCTCCCTCCCTCATCTCCACCGTGCCCCTTTCCAAGTCCACTGATGGGGGGGACCTCCTCCCCATTCATCAGATCCTGTTTTATCAGGTATCTTCAGGACTGGCTGCAAAGCCCTCCTCTATTGGTTTCCCATAGTGAGGGAAACAAGGACTATTTCTAACAGGAACTCAATGACTGGCTCTTTGACCTCCCCACCCCCCAAGGGAGGAGCAGTCCTGTTAGGATGTTCCTTCTTAAATTCAATATTGACTCTCCTTTTCCCCGGGACAGTAATATTCTGATCTTGATGTCTTGTAGGTTCTCTTTTTTCTTCAGAAAGCTAGGATCTAGTCCCCAATAACGATGACATCCAGCTCATGGATGAAAGGCCAATATTTAACTTCTGACAGTTAGATTCTCTTCCTAACGGCTTCTTCTCCCTGGAAGCTTCTGTTAGTGTGCTGCCAAGGAGAGGTAGCCAGCTCTAGCTGGGTTTCTAGACAGAGGGTGAAGATTTGACAGAGGTGTCGCCACTTCTCAAAGTGTGCCTTGTACAGTGTGGAGGAACTCTGCAAGACGGTGGCTTTTAGCCACGGGGATGTGTGCCGCATAGTGCGTTGACATATAATAGCTAATAAGGGACCCTAAGATGATAACTGCAATCAAAAGAGACAAAGATCATTCTTACATCTAAGTGCTTCTGTCTTCTCCCTGTACGCGAGGCAGGCAACCTCCTCCTCAGCTGTGCGGATAAGTCTTTGATGATCTTCGTGTTATTTCCCTCTTTAGTTGGCTTGAGTTTGGCTTTCTGAAAACAGGCAAATGCTGTGTGCTCACAGTGATCCTGAAAGAGAGACAATTAGCATATGTTAATGACCCAAGAGATAATTAGCATACATTAATGAACATCCATCCAAAGGTTAAAAATTACTTTCCAGCCCTCAGTTTCTGCTTGTACTCTCATGTCTTGGACGTTTGTTTGAGCAGCTGCATCAGGTCTGGACATATCTCTACTTGAGCTTTGCAAACTACAGAAGTTCCTGTCAGACAGCTTTTCTGTCTGGGAGAAGAAGGAGCCATTTCCTGCTGTGCAGAGATGAGCACAGGCCTCAGCCCCTTCTCACTTTTCTATGCCTGGTGCCATGCTGATGCCACTCTGAGGTTTAAAGGGGCGGGCATAAGCTTTGTGGGGTTGGATGTGTGTGTGTGTGTGTGTGTGTGTGTGTGTGTGTGTGTGTGTGTGTGCAAGCAAGCACAGGAGCAAATGTGTGCCTCTTTGTGTGCTTGTGTGCATGTTGATGTATGTGTACAACTGTTTTGTATGTGTGGGTGTGGGTGTGGGTGTGTGGCAGGGGGCACGTTACAGTTATACAGGTGAGCAGTCTACCACTGAGCTAGCAGACCAGCCTCTCTATCTGTGACACAGACTTTAGTTTAAGAGCGCAGTCGCTAAACTCTGAGGTTGTAAATTGGGACCAGGGACAGCTCTGTGGAAATGACCCAACAGTCTGGCTAAGAATCTGTTTGTCACGTCTGTCTACTGTGCACAGCAGTGTCTCCATGGGTGATGTGCCTGGAGCAGTGCTCTGGGCTGCGGAGCCTGGTGCAGGCCTGGGCCTCAGCAAGTGCTCAGTAACTACTTGCAGAGCTGATCAGTGGGATAAATAATTAAGACTACTCTGGGAGTGCACTCCAAGAGGCATTTCGCCTGCTCAGGCCACCTCACATTTTGTAACGTCCCAGTCATAGCCTTGTCTGGGTAGGGCCAGATTCCCCGTGAATGAAGTGTCAAAAAGCAAAAGTCAAAACTCATGTATGTGCAGGCCATGAGAAGGAGAGCCTTTAGAGGAGCTGTATCACAGAGCGTGGAGAAGTAGAAGAGGAGCAAAGCCTTCTCTTTGGTTTGGTCAAATCCCTAGTGGTCAGTGAAGAATCCCAATCTCAGCAATGGAATGTACCAGAAGAGCACTCTGGGCAAATGCTTCACCGAGTTGAAGCCTTGGCTCTGGAAGAGCAACAGCTAAAGCCATCTTAACTCTCAGCCAAGAGCTCCTATCTGGGTTGTCATTTCCTTTAGGGTGGGTGGGGGTGTGGGGTAGGTGGGTGTGTTCTCCCCCAAAGCTGCCACATCAGCATGTCATCAATGTGGATGGAAGCCACTAGCTTCCAACCAGAAGCCTCCCTCCTTCCCAGCCATGCTGCCTGGACCTTCTCAGGGACAATCAGCTGAAAGAGCAGCGAGCCTGCTTTGCATTTTCCAACCCAGACACTTGCCTGCCATGAATGTTGATTAATAGCATGAGTAGCATGAGCCCCTCGGCATTGCTTTGCATAGGTAGCCGAGAGCCCAGCAGGGCTTATCTAGTTCCTTCTATCAGGCCGCTAGCCTGTCACCCGAGCAAAGTGCTGGCCTTCCCATGTTTGCCAAAATGCTTATTTAATAGAAACTATTTATAAGTGTTAATTATAGCACTTTTTTTTTCCTTGAAAACCACACGTTCATGTTTGTTGAAGTTTTTTTCTTTTTGACCACAACCGGCTTAACTTACTGGAAAAAAATAATATTCATATTTAAAGAGGTAAATTTTCCAGCTGAAACTGAAAACACTAACTGCTTCATCCGTGATGATCTGAGAAACCAGCATTTCTCACAGAGGCTCATTTTGCTGAGTTAACATTTTCATTTGTACACTGATAGAAAATTAGGTTCCAAAGAAGCTTGGGGAGGGGGTCATAAGAGCAAATTCCCTGAGATTGCTCTGCCAGCAATGGTCAGGCCCAGCCATCAAAACTTCATACCCTGACTAGTTGAGAGATCAGGGTGGGGACGTGCCTCTGTCCCCACCCTTCCCTGTCCACTGCTGATGGACGCTGGCCTTGGTCTTCCTTTGTCCTACAGGAAGCATCCTGTCTCTAGAATGAGTGACCCGGGACAAAAATCTTTAGGCTGGATGTCAGTGCCTGGCAAAGGCAGAAAAGCAGTGGGGAAATGGTCCCACTGACTGCATGAGGGACGTAGAGCCGGTGGGGAGATGGAGGGAATCTAGAACCTCATGCCGGTGTTTCCTGGCTGGTTTCCTCGGCTGGGCCTCAGCAGAGAATGTGAGGAAATTTCTAGGCCTGCCTGGCTCCTGCAGACCGGAAGGTACAGTAAGGAAGCCAAAGAAAAGAGTTTAAAAAGCCACTCCTCTCTTTAGCAGAAAAGAGATACTCACAAAAGACACACCTGGCTTGCTAGTTCTGCTGCTGAGTATCTGAAAAAGTAAGGTTGCTTTCCTAAAGCCTATTTCTGACCTGGTTATGTTTTTATCTTTTGCAAGGAAAGTCATTGCCAGACAGCATGGAGTATCCTACCAGCTCTTAAGTGACTTGCCTTTCTCTCCCTCACAGACCAGCTCTACCCACAGACAAGGTTTCCTAGTGGCACCACTACTCATTGGACTGGATAACTGCTGTCAGATCACGCATTCCAGAACATTCACTAGCATTCCTGGCCTCTAGGGACCAAATACCTGTAGCATGCTCACCCCTATCCCCAACTGCGCCAACCAAAGTTTCCCCACCTAATGTCAAGTGTTTACCAGGGGAGGGGCGGCAAACTCCTGGATAGATGAGAAAGAAAGGAAGAAGCAAAATGGGGCAGGGTCCATCACAGATCTCAATAGCGTTATAGAATTTGCTACAGACCCTGCTTTGGACACTAGCTATGGAAACCTGCATAGCCTAACTGCCTTCCTCTGTCTTTAGTTTGCCTGCCAGCATAGCTGGAGGATGTTAGAGCTGTATTCATTGCTTCATAGATGGTTCTGCTTGGTCAAATCATCAAAAAGATGCATGCTCACTGAGACAAATCTTCTCATGGAGACGTGAGAGTTTTAGAGCTTTTCCTGGAGAAGATAGATTATGAGAGAGTGGGAAGGCCCCAGAGGGAGAGGGCAGAGGGTAGGTGGGCAAAATGTGTGAGTGTATACGATCACAGGGATTCTCGTCAACTTTAACAAGTTATGTGTATTAGCAATGTAAAGATGATGAAAATTAAAGTGGCTGCCGGGAAATTCAGACTTAAAAAGCCATTTTTCACTAAGAAAGCATATGTAAGAAGTACTCACTGGGTCAAACTCAGCTAAAAATTAAGGATTTTTCTTTTCTTTTTACTTTGCAATGTGTAGACTGCAGGCAGGAAACCCTGGAAAGAACTCTCTCCACAGCAGTCAAATGCAGTACATGAGATGCTGAGAATTAGACAATGTTGAGAAATACTCTCGCTTATTGGAAATGTCCTTTCAATAGATTGAATGCGCTACTTTCATTTTAGAGGCTGTTTATTAGGAAGGACCTAGTGAACACCAGTGGTCATGTTCAGAGCTAGAGAGCAGTGGCTGTGACTCATCCACTTTCTAAACTTTTACGCTGTCATTTACCATAATTCTCTTCTTTGAACGTATCTGTGTGGTACCCTAATTACTGGCAACACTTTCCTGGTTTTCCTAATTTGTGCAATTAAAGGTCTAGCAGTGTGAGCATTTCCCCAGTTTCATTTAAGACATTAAGGTACCAGACTGAAGAGCAGATTAAAGAAGTTCTCCGGGGAAAGAACAGCAGAAGGCACTCCACATTGTGTGCCAAGCCACTCTTCCATGGGACTTGGATAAGAAGGAGAGTTGGAGAGAGCTGTAGAATTGACCATTTTGAAGGACTGAGGCTAAACCCAAGAAGACTCGCTGAGGCCAAGGTACATGGGAATTACACCAGAGACCTTTGATTTTCACACTCCCTTTTCTGAGCCTTCCTTGCAATCTAGCTCTTTCTTTCTTTTTAAAGAGTTGTTATTAAAGGGCAAATGTTACCTCTTATCTTAAATAAGATTACAAAGAGAGTTGCAGAGCTTTCATACCTAAGGCTCTGCAAATAGAATTATTGTTCAGAAATGGATCCCAGCACAGGTTTTTATCATTGCTGCATTGTTGGTTTGTCGTAGGCATACTTACTAGAAGTATTCTTAGGGGCTCTGGAGGGCACACATGTATTATATAAGGATATACATATCATATATCCATAAGCATATGATATGTCATTGTTCGGTTTGCTGATAAATCTATGGCTACATGGTCAAAATGGAAATGAATGTTTTACTAATTATTAATCCCTACAGGCACTGAAAAATAAGCATAAATAATCATGCTATGCCTTGTTAGACTTTAAATTTACATAAAATACATTTTCAGAAATAAATCCAACTGATCTTACCTTCACATCTTGTGGAGCTGGTAGAAGTTCAGGCTCCTAGCCAAAGAGAATGAGCTCTGAGTTAGTGATGTAAGTCAAAAGGCCCCTTTTGCAGTAGTTAAAAAATGTTCTTTAAGTTGCATTGTGACAAACATGGCCTTACCAAGTCATTCACACGGATTCTCAGCTGTTCAACAACATCTATAAGGTAACGAAGTCTAATCAGGAGGCGATCTGGCCCCTGGGGGCTTGATTTATGAGCCACTGTCCCCAGGAAGATGACTATCAGACAGACAAGGGTCCTCTCCATGCCCCCAGACCAGGTCTCCAGCAGCAGATGAGCAGGGCCTTGGTCCGGCTTCCACTGCAGCCTGACTGTGGACAGGTTGTCTCTACAGCTACCTATTTATTCATCCCTCAAGGAGAGGCAAAGCCCTCCCATTGCAGCCTGGAAATCTTTGTACAGTGGATGAGTGTGAGTAAGTCGTTTTTCTTTTCCATTGGCTAGGTATACGTGTGTGCGTGTGGGGGCAGGGATGGACGGGGTCCACAAAATGTGCCCCATCTGCATCTTAGACAGGAAAAAGAGAAACGCGGGTGAATTCCAGTCTTCAGTACTCACCAGGAAGTGTGCATGTGTAGCACGCAGGAGGCACAGTCAGACTTCAGAGAAGTAAACACAAACACTTTCATCTTCTTCTCTGCATCCCTGGCACCTTACCTGGTTTGTCTGACAGTCATAAAGGCACTTCCACGATGAGTAAAGTGGCAGCATGTCCTTTATTGCAGGAACTTTTCATAGGCTAATGACTGCCATTTGACTGAATCATCCTGTATTCCATTGCAAAGATGGAAGAGGTTAACTTTTAGGAAAAATTCAATGGTGAGGTAGTTTCCTAACTAGCAAGAATATGATCAGGTTGCAGGGGTGTTAAAGGAGGAATTGCTTCCAGTTTTCACCAATGCATCTTTCAATAGCCCTCATGGTGATTCTTGACACTTCATGCAATAATCTGGTTTGTAAATGTAATAAACTGTTTTGATAAACTATGTAGACAGTGCACTCTCTACCAAGACCCTACTCCATCTTCACTAAAATAAGGACCCACAAGTTCTGTAATTTTTTTTTTATTTAATGCATCAGTTAAACCAATGTAAAGAGCAAATGCTCCTTTCTGTCCAAGTTTTTTTGTTTTGTTTTGTTTTAAGTATCTTTGGAGCAAACAAAGAGCCCGGCCAGAGAAGCCAGACCCAGGAACCATGCCTGAAAAGCCAAAAGACACGGCACTGGAGGAAGTACGCATCCCTAGCCGGCGGACAGGCACCACCGGGCTTCTTGGCAGAGAGGTTTACAAAGAATTTCAGCAGAGTAGGCGGCATGCTACTCTGGCTTTCGAAGAGCATGACCAAAGTTTGAACAAGTGAACCTGTTGGACTCCGAAGCAGTCCATCGCCCCATTCATGATTTTCAGCCTCGCGTCATAGTGCTGCAAAGAGCAGATGCCGAGAGTCAGCCAGATGCTGCTTCCCAGCTGAATGTGGGTGCCTCTGTGAATTCAGCAAAGGAAGCAGCGCTGCTCAGTGGAGCGGTTCTCCTTACAGTAGGCTCAGATAGTGTGTTTGCCAAGGGGGATAACCCTTACACAGAAGAAGGTACACCAAGTCAAAACAAACTTAGATGGAGAAAAGGCGGTCCTGGAGAATGACTTAGGTAAGATCCAGCATCCTTGACTCCTGATCAGTTTTTGAAGATTGTCTTTTGTTGCTCATGAGGAGATGGGTTATTAATTTATAAAAATATCCAGAATTTCTGTGTGTGGGTGGAGGGAGTTACGTGTCTGAACTCCCAGCACATGAAAACTGGGTCAGGAGTTTTAGGCTAGCCTGGGCTATATAGTGAGGTCCTGCTCTTCCCTCCCCTAATTCAAGAAAGGAAAGAAAGAAAAGGGGGAACAGGGACTAGAAGTTACTAGAAATTAGAGAGGATAGGCTGGTGAGATAGCTCTGTAGATAAAGGTGCTTGCCACTAAGCTAAGAATTTGAGTTCGATTCCCAATACCCACGTGGTGGAACCGGCTCCCCACAATTTGTCCTCTGACTGTCATACATGTGTAGGTATGTGTATGCATGTCATACACGTGTAGCCCCCCCACACACACGTAAATAAATGCAATGAAGTTTTTGAAGTAGTCTTTAAAAGAGAGGTATCATCAAACACCAAAACCAAAAGTATCTGGAATGTTTCTTTTCATCCTGGAGCTATGCTGGTTCTTTCTACCACAGTCTCCTCACTGGTCCTAGCCACATGCTTCTAACTGTGTTTGTGACCAGGTACAGGCCGATAAAAGTCTCAGAGACCAGAAGTGGTTTTAGCAGCTGCCTCTCTTCTGCATTTCTTGTCCTTATGGTCCTTCACCCACTGGAGAAAGTTGAGTGTAATACTCCAGCTCAGGAGACGTTTAGGCCACAGTCAAGCATGTCTTACAAATAAACCTCTTGATTTACCTGTTTGTTGACCTATTTTGTCACACACTTACAACCATCCTGTGTTCCCAAATGCTATGCAGCTAACACAGTTTGTTCCCGATTTACTCTGAAGCTTGGACTGTGAAGGTCCAATATCTGTTCCAGTTATGGCCTTATGCAGAAGACGAGAATTCTTGCAGTTGGGTGAAGAGGTGCTTCCTGTAATCATTCAGTTCTGTAAAGGAAGTTGTGTGGAGTTCTTCGCCAATAAGGACTAGAGCTCACCACCTGGCACACGTGGTCTTTTCACATCAGTTTTCCTGATGTGCCTAAATGGATTTTCATCTCCTGAATCCACTGCCCGTGGTGAGTAAGAGTTCATTTTCAAGCCAAGTCTGGTGGCGCTTCCCTTTGATCTCAGCACTCAGGGAGGCAGAGGCAGGTGGATGGCTGTGAGTTCAAAGCCAGCCTGGTCTACAAAGTGAGTCCAGGACAGCCAAGGCTACACAGAGAAACCCTGTTTCAAAAATACAAACAAACAAGAGTTAATTTTCAAAAGCAGAGTTCCTGAGTTCAAACCTAGACTCTAACAGTGAATTGCCACGTGACATGGGCAGGCCCTGGCAAAGGGAACATGGGGGCTTTACAGGTTTACAGATCCAAGGAAAAGGCTAAGTATAGCACATGCTGAAGTCCCAGGACATTGATCTTGGATGAGAGTGGGAAGGATGTACAGACACACAGAAAGAAGTGTTAGATCAATGCTAAGCCATACGGAGGGAGGGTATGGCTTTAATGGTGGTAGAAACATCGAGGGTCATGTTGCCCATAGGAAACCACTGTTCTTGATCTCTTTGAAGAACCCTCCACCATGCCCCAAGACCTCCTAGCCCCTGCTTCAAGCCACCTGTCAAGATCAAGTCTCAATTGCCCTGCCCCACAACCCAACCCAGACCTTCCAGGAGTGGGAATCCCTGGAGAAGGTTCTGTAGCAGTGAGCATATTGGAATCATGGAACCCACAGGAAGGAAGGCAAAGTGTCAAAGTCCAAATAGATGTGCTGACAGAAACAAAGCCTGGTGTGGTACACAGGCCAGACTCATGAGAGACATGAGAGACGCATGTCCCCAAAGGCTGAGAGCATAAAGGAACATGAGAGCAGTGGTTCTCAATCTGTGGGTAGCAACCCCTTCGGTGGTCAAATGACCCTTTCATATGGGTTGCCTAAAACGACCGGAAAACTCAGACACTCACATTGTGATTCCTAACAATAGCAAAATTACAATTAGGAAGTAGCAATGAAATAATTCTATAGTTGAGGGTCAGCACAACTTGAGGGGCTGTATTAACGGGTCGCAGTATTAGGGAGATTGAGAAGCATGGGTTAGGCCATCCAGAACGAAGGTAGCCCCTGCTTGCCTTGACCTTGTTCCATGAGCTCATTTTGCACGCCTGGCCTTTTGAACTGCAAGATGCTTAGTTTGGGCTGTTTGTTGTTTCTGTCATTTTGTTTTTGTTTGGTTAGCAATATAATCTTGTTTTATTTTTTTTCTTTTATTGAAAATAGATTATTTTTTTTCTCATGTAATATATCCTGATTATGGTTTCCCCTCTCTACTCATCCCAGCTCCTCTCTATGTCCCCTCCCATCCAGATCTACTCCCTTCCTGTCTTTTATTAAAAATCAAGCAGGCATCTAAGGGATATTAATAAAATATAATAAGATAAAACAAAAGCTGTCATATCAGAATAGGGCAAAATGAGCAAACAGAGGGGGGAGCACAAGAAAAGACACAAGAAACATAGTCACAGAGTCACATACAAGTGTGTACTTGTTTGCACACCCAGGAATTCTATAAAAACACTAAACTGGAAGCTATAATATATATGCAAAGGACCTATAGGGTAAAATGAGAAAAAATATATATAAACAATATTTTAAAATAAGGGTTTGTGGGGGGTTTTTGTTTGTTTTTTTTTTGTTGTTTTTTTGTTTGTTTTTTTTTTTTTTTTTTTTTAAGAAAAGGCCAGATACAATCTTATGAAACAAGGACCCTGTAAAGATGCCATTGTGTCATTTTCTGTTGCCCATCTACTGCTGGGCATGCAGTCTACCCTTAAGAGGAGTTTGTTTCCCCATTGAGACTCTATGGGAGGAAACTAATTTTCATTTGCAGGAGGTTATCAATTGGAGATAAGGATTATGGGTAGGGACGTGTGTCCACTTCTTTCACCTCAAGAACCCCATCTGGTGCAGACTTGTGCAGGTCCTGAGCATGCCACTTCAGTCTCTGTGAGTTCATAGGCGCATTAGTCCTGTTGTGTTAGGAAGGCCTTGTTCTCCTGGTGTTCTCTGTACGTTCTTCCCCCCTCTTCTTCTGCAAGGTTCCCTGAGCTCTGAGGGGAGATATTTGATGGAGACATCTCATTTAGGGCTTCTTGCTCTAGGCATACTGCCCAGCTGTGGGTGTCTGCATTCGTTCCGCTGTAGGAGGAAGCGGCTCTGATGATGGATGAGCAAGGTATTATCTACAGGTGTAGCAGAGTGTCATTAGGAGTCACTTTATTGTTGTGTGTGTTGTTTGTTTGTTTCCTGAACAGTAGTATTTGGTCTTACCACAGGTCCCTGGGATATCTAGACTCTGGTTCTTGGTCACCCAAGCAGTATAGGATATTGGTTCCATCTCCTTGATTAGCCTTAAGTCAAACCAGATAATGGTTGTTTACTCCCACAGGGTTTGTGCCACCATCGCATTAGTGTATCTTGCAGGCAGAACACTATTGTAGATGAAGGGATTTGTGACTGGGTTGGTGTTTATGTTTCTCCTTTGCTAGCACGTAGAG